TTTGTTTTTAATAATCTTTTTTGTTTTTTTTTCAAAAAAAAATTCAGATTGACGATATATTACAATGAGCGATAGAAAGAGACTTCGGAACCTTGCTTCTAATAACTTGTACGGATCAACATTTCTCGGTCAGCCATCGAATCAAACAGCTTCTTCTTCCGGCACCGGCACATCTTCCAGCCAGCATACTGTTCCGGAGAGCCAAACACATGGTGTTCCGTTTGTGCCTCCTTGGGCATACGACCCTGCTGCCGATGCTCCATACTACCCACAGTTCGATCCAAATGAAGTCTACTTTCCTTTTAACCCCGACCAACATCAGTATGATCCTCAGCAGCCTCAGTATCATCATCAGGAGGATCCTCTGCAGCAGCATGTTCCACCGCCTCAGGCTCAGCCGTCTCAGCCGCCTCCAGCTGCTTCGCAGTATGTTCCACCGCCTCAGGCTCCTCCGGCTACTGCAGCTCTCCATCCAGATTTGATGGTGCCGGCGAATGCACCATATGCAAGATATATGGTGGAGGACATTCTCCAGATCCCGGGACGAGAAGGTTTACGAATCGTCGATCCATATAAACGATCCGGCACGTTTTGGTAATTATTTTAATAAAATTAATTTTATTTTTAATTTTATATATGTAACAATTAATTAATGTTTATTTTCTAAATTTTTATAGGTTTTATACCGACAATGATTTGGGAGGTAGCGTTAGAGATCATCAGGTCTAATTTTTGGTATGCGCATCCGAACTGGACTCTTACACCAGAACACGTTCGTGTGACTTGGTTCAAGTGATTTGCGGTAAGTTTTAAATATATTTTTTATTTAAAGATTAATAATTTGATTAATTATAATTTTTTTGTAGCAATAATGGAATTGGTCTATCGGTGTCAACGAAGAGGTCAAGGCAGGGTTCAACAAAAGGGCGGCTGCTCATCTAAAGAACATCGTTGGCGATTGGAAGGAGAACTGGAGGCAAAAACAGGACCACACAAAGAAGAGCTACCTCAGCGATGACGTTTGGAAAGGCTTGAAGGCTTTTTGGATGTTGCCTGAATCACAAGATAAGTCTGCCAAGTACTCTACCGTCCGGATGACCCCTGATGCTGAGGGTAACCCTCCGGTGCCTCATACTTCTGGGTAGACTCCACATGCTAAGTGGGCACTACAAATTGTAAGTATTTGATCTTTTTAGTTCTTATTAACTTATTTAACATACAGATTAATTTAATTAATTTGTTTTTAATATAGGCTGCCAAAGAAGGAGCACCACCATCTCTCGCCCGCCTTTACAAGATGACACACCAGCATTCCGATTGCACTTTCTCGCATCCTCGAGCAGAGAAGATCTACAACGACGTAGAGGCTAGGATCGAGGAGGTTCAGACTCAGCTGTCGCAACGAAATCCGGGAGGTGCACCGGTCCAGCTTTCCACCATCGAGCAGGATAAAATTTTTGAGGAGGTAAAATATAAGTTATTTTGTTTATATACAGATTTATTTATTTTTTTAATTTTCACATATGTATTAATTAACTAAAATTTTTATGATCAATTGAAGGTTGCCCCGAAGAAAAGGGGACGTATAGTTGGGATCGGGTCTGTGAACGATGTTCCGAGAGCAAGAGCTGGGCATGCTACAAGAAAAGATGAAGACTCCTCTCTCCGGACTGATTTGGAAGCTGGAAACAAAGTCATCCACGAGCACAATGACAAATTTAAGGCTATCGCAAATTTGCTCGATCTGATGATGCAGAACTCGAACCCGACCCCGACTGTTGTCTCTGCATGGGAGGCTCTACGACTGAGCTTAAACCCCACTGATGCTGAGCCCACTCCGGAAGAGCAGGCGGATTTAGAGCGACGTGCCGACCAGTCCGGTCTCTTCGATGACATCAATCTTAATGCATAGTTTTTTCGGTTTTATTTAATTTCGATATTATATGGATATATTATTGATATTATATGTTTTTCGGTTATATTATATATATTATGTTTTTATAAAGGTTGATTTAATATTTTCTCTTTTATATCAAATTTAAATAAAAAAATAATTTAAAAAATAATTTATTTTAATTTATTATATATTAATAATACTACAGATTATTTACGACCAATGAACTACAAAATCATTACGACTAATGAACTAACTACTTAACTCCTCCTATTTACGACCAATGAACTACGAACTATTTACGTCTAATTAACTACGAAAGCATTTACTACACCTTTACGACTACAGTCGTTACGTTTATGTTACGACCAACCCGTTGGTCGTAACGTTACGACTAGCGCGTGTAATCGTAATTTACGACCAATCTACAACCATTTTTGTATTACGACTAGTGCCTAACGACCAATCACACTTCGTCGTTAGTTAGTCGTAATAGCCCTATTACGACTGATTAACGACGAATTGTGTGGTCGCTATAGGCTCGTTTTCTTGTAGTGTAAGGTAGATTTTTAAATTATAATTTAGTTGAGACCATATTTAACACTGGCAATTGGTTCGGGTCGTATTTGGCATGATTGAAATTGCTGGGTAGGCCTGAGAAATCGGGTGACCATTTGGGTTCGGATCGGTTCTAATCGGGTTTTAGGTTTTTGGGCTTACAAAAATCAACTCTATTCGGTTATTATATAAAGGGCTTCTTGCAAATTTGACCCAAAATCAAAGTCAAACCCAAAACTAACTTTTTTTTTAACTTTAACTTGCCTATTCACCCCAAAAGTTTGAATTTTTCACAAAAAATATCATTTTTTTTTAAATGATTACTTTACTCAATCATCTCATCTTCATTAAGTATTTACACTATTGCCATTACCATCAATACACCAACTACCATGAACAACCAATTTGACGCTCTTAATACACCTAAAAATCATTTTTTTCTCCTTCGATCTGATTTCTTATGAACTAAAAACAACATATTTTTCACTTTCTCTCTATATTCATCGAAAAAACCCAAGATTTTGATTCTAAAATTTTTAAGGTTCATAGAGCCATGCAAGCTCACAATTCTTGGTGGGTCGCTTTCATTTGAGGTTTTTGTTGCTAGGAATTGACTTATAAGTTCTGAGGGAGTTTTCTCACATCTCTGGAAATCAATTTTTTTTTTTCAAATCTGTCTATCAGAAGACTTTTGTGTAAGTCTTCTGGATGTAGAAGACTTACACGAAAGTCTTCTGGTCAATGCAGAGGTTAGTTTTGTAACTGACTTTATGTGTGTCTTTCTGAGATGCTTCTCTTGAAGTATTCTGGTTTTCTTTGTTTAAAAAAAAAATCAAAAATCACAAAGAAGACTTCTCTGTAAGTCGTCTATGATAAATATGCTAGTTTTGCATCTGGCCACATTGTGTCAGAAATTTTATTTTTCCTAGACGACTTACAGGAAAGTCGTCCACAGAAAAATAAAAATTTAATATTTAACTTTTGTTAGACGACTTCTATGTAAGTCGTCTCGGGTTACTTTTGCAGTTGAAAAATAAAACTTGAACATTTAATTTTATCTTGACGACTTACATGTAGGTCTTCCAATAGACGACTTACATGTAGGTCTTCCAATAGACGACTTACATGGAAGTCTTCCATGATTTTATCCCGAGATTTTGGTCAAATTTTGGTTACCATAGAAGACTTCCGTGTAAATCGTATACCGGAAGACTTACATGTAAGTCATCCGGATAAATTAAATATTTATTTTTTATTTTTAATTGCAAAGTAATCCGAGACGACTTATATGGAAATCGTCTAACAAAGATTAAATATTAAAGTTTTATTTTTCTGTGGACGACTTCCATATAAGTCATCTAGGAAAAGTCAAATTTTTAACATAGTGTGGTAAAATGCAAAGCTAACATGTTTATCGTAGACGATTTACAAGGAAGTTTTCCCTGGGATTTTTGAAAACAAAAGTAAGATAATATTTACAAAGGAAGACTTCCAAAGAAGTCTTTTATATTGAGTAGACTTCTCCAGAAGTCTTCCTTTGTATGTTTTCAATTGCAAAAATGACCTTTTCGACGACTTCCTAGAAGTTTGTTGGATGATTTCTGTGGAAGTCGTCTACATTAATGTTTAAAGATCTGATCTGGCCCTGACACCTTTTTTGATGCATAGCAAAAAGAGCCAATTTCACCTCCCACTCAATGATCGGGGCTGTAAGACCATCATTTATCGTTTCTATGATTGTTGTTGATACCTCTGCGCCAGTGCGCTATCATCCCTTCTGGTCCTTACACCTTTTATGGATGCATAGTACAATTTCACATCCCACTCAGTGACTGGGGCTGTAAAACCATCATTTATCGTCTTTGTGATTGTTGTTGATATCTCTAATAGTGCTTCTTCTATATCCTATGGATTTGATGACTTAAGGATTTGCCTAAAATAACTAGTAGGAATGACTATCAATCCTTTCTCATTCTTAACATCATTTCTGGTTGCATCTAGAAGCTGCATGATTGTGTTCTTGGCTCGTCTTTGTTTCGTTAAACATGGAAAAACTTAGTATTTTTATCTTCTCTTAACCATTTAATTCAATTTTTTTGTTTGAAGAACATTTTCTCTGCCTTAAAAGCATCAAATAGTTCTTTTAGAACTTCTATTATTTCTTCCGTTGTAGCATGATCAAGTAGAAACCCTCAACCCTCTCTATAAGATCGTCCACCCGTTTTTAGAATTCACTTGACTATGTGGAGAATATGAAAATTATGTGTTCAAAAGGCGTCCTTCCATTTATTATTAGTATTCTTTTAGTTTTGAACTCGTTGTAACGTTATTGTTTCTCATATGGTTGTTTTGATTTCAACTTTTCATTACAGTTCGTTTTTAGTTTTCAGTTTTCATCACATGAGCATTCAACATACTGTTATGTTTTTGTATTCGTCGTCCCTTTCTCTATCGCTCTCTCTTCAAATTCTTTTTAGCAATTTGAACAAGAGCGAATAGATATTGTGGTTGTTGAAATATGTTAACCGAAGTACTTGAGTCATCAAATCCCATTATTCAATTTGACTTGCGCATAATGATCCAATTTAAAATGTTACAAATTAACCGTCCCTCAAAAGGTTTCTGGTGGAAGGATCAACAGACAATAATTTTTTTAATTGAATCCTTGAGAAACATGAACCACTTTGTCAGGAGGAGTGACAAGAAAGTTTGAAACAGTTTCCTCGTAGAGTAGTTGATTCAAGCTTCAAATCATGCATCTCTATCAAGCGGTCCATGACAGACAAAGCCAGCTTTGTTCACGTGCCGTCTCTCATTGTAAATAAGAAGCGCAAGAGAAGGACGAGCGTAGAGACGCTTCACCACGAAATTACACATGCATCCTCTCATGGATTGAGGCCTCGCAGCTCGGTTCCTAGTCTTGAGACGGTACTTTCTACTGGGCAACACACCACCTCCTTCTCCGTAGTTCTCAGGACCAAAAGAGCACCAATACCTTCACAAAGATTCAAACTTTATATACGAAATGGTACTTAAGAGAATAAAGATTCAAACTTTATATACGAAATGGTACTTAAGAGAATAAAGAATCAAACTTTGAATACGAAATGGAGCTTAAGAGAATAAAGACTCAAACTTTAAATAAAGAGAGTGGAGAAACACTTACATCCTGTATTCGAGATACTCGTCGCTCTTGTACTCCTTGAGGCTGCCGCGAGAGCGTTTCCTTCCTCTTTCGATGTGGAATCGAGTAGGGGAATCTGGGTTTGAGCATTCTCCGATGATAAACTCGTCGACCCTCGCGTAAGGGATGAGTGCTACTTCGTCGTGATGCTCCGTTGTCCCGAACTTGGTCCAGGTCAGATCGGTATATGAAAAGTCTTCTGCTTGTGGGTTTTGCACTGGGATGTCTTCTAGAGACTCGACAATCTCCATTTTTCGTACGCGACTGCACAAGCCTCTCAAAATTAGGGTTAACGTGAGGATTTATTGGTTTGGAAAGAAGAGGGATTAAGCAGAAACGGCAGTATTCTGGAAAGCAGAGGAAACATTTTAATTGCAAAAAAGGATCTTTTAATTAATATATTTTTATAATACCACCCTTTTGTTCTTGTTTTGAACATTTTCTCCACTCCATGGTATTTTTTTGTCCACAATCGATATTAGAAACCATTTTAAAAAAACTTCACTTTTTATAAATAAATAAATGACACTTCAATAAAAGAAAACTGTGATTAAAATAAACAAAAACAAAATCAGTCTGGCAGAAGCGGGCTTCAAGTTAGATTTGTTGAAGCTAAGACTTGATGAAATTTGTTTAAAGAGGAAGAAAATAGTTGATGATTCTCCTCGAGTCAAAGAACTGGAAGAACAACAAGAATCTCAAAGCTGAATTGAACAAAGAGAGGGTACTTTTGTTGTTGGAGCAGATGGTGGTTGAACTCAAAGCCGAGCTTAACAAGAAGCAAACACTAAGCCATAGTTAATTCTCCTGCATTATATTTAGATGTTTTTTTTCTTTCTATTTTTTTTTTATTTCAGAGTTGAATGTCAAACCTTGTGGATGTCTAAACTCAAACTTGTGTATCTTAGGATTCAATGTCGCTTGAGATGTTCTTAAATTTGGAAAAAGAGTAAGTTCTCTTCTGCAAAATGAATTTTTAATCTGTTCGCATTATTTTGAATGAAGGCAAGGGTGGGAACAAATTCTAAGTTGAATTGACCAATTTTATATAGAGATGTTTATTATTAATGAATGAAATTGCATATAAATTTAGTACATTGAGGTTTATTGGATTTCCCAAAATTAATCAAATTACTAAAATATATTTAAATATCTTTCTATTGTTTTAAAATTTTTTTTTAAAGAATATATTAATTTATTTAACAAATATTTTATAAAATATCTCATTCTACATCATTATTAATCATATATTTCAATTATTCATGCGCAAACCTTACCATAGTTTTATACTTTTACAAAATAGTTTATTTGTTGTAAGAAAAACTGTTATTTAGAAATATAAAATCTCTTTTCGTCATTTTCGAAATAGTTTTTTTTCGGGCTTAAGCCTCTCTTACATCTCCAGATCTAGAAATATACGGACGGATTATCGTACAAGGAGGCAAGAATTAATGGCGTCCTTCTTATCCATGTAGATTATATCCGTCTGGACCAAGTAGCATTTTTGAACGACTCAAACTTAACCACCACTTGATCTTCATATGTAGGCGATAACAAAAAAAAAAGATGTTGAAATTACACCAAATGTGATATTTTTGTGTCAATTTGTTTTGTCATTTCGAACCATAACATCACATATTACACCGAAAGTAATATTATACATTATTTAATATGATAAGTTTTAATAATTTTTATATTTTTATTATTTATAATTAATAAATTATTATCACTATGTTCTAAGAGCAGCGTGTCTACCAACTTCACCATAGCGGCAATTGCCAAATTAATAGGAAGGAGTTAAATTACAGTAATATTATGTTTATAAAACTTATTTATATTTCTATTTTGGATTAACAATAGTATACTTTTATGTATTCATATTATAAAATTATTAATTGTATTCAAAATTACGACACTATTTTGAAAAATATATAACAAAATAATATATTTTCATAATGATGAGTTAGTAATATAAGTTTAATTATATTAGTAACATAAAATTTTTTATGTTAATGTTTAAAGAATTTAATAATATTACATCAAATTTAAGCATCTATTATTAAATCTAATTTGACAATATTATAATATTATTAATTTTTCATTATTGATTAAATGTTTATGATATTTTATTTTATTTTAAATAAGTAAATGATAATAGTCATTTAGTGATTCCTTACTTGAAAATAAAATAAAAAATATTTAATTTTGTAAAATAATTTAAAAATACAAATAATACAATATATTTGTGTTTAGTTACAATTTTGAACTAAATAATAATAATAAGTGAACTATATTATTAAATAGATATCATAAAATAAGTATATTAAATATTTGGTGTGATAAATAGAATTACATTAAATTTGGTGAATTGTGTTGTTTTTGTAAGTGTAGCCCACACTCAAGCCCACATGTGTGAAAGGTCGAAGGCCCAAGTCAAGCCCGTTACTCATCAACGGTCATCTCCTTTGTCTTTGTCCTCTTGCAAAACAGAGTAGTGGAGTATGGACATTAACAACTCCTTCTCCCCTCTTTTATTATTATGTACAACTGGATAAGATCACCTTTATCTTTACCTTTCCAGTTGTTACAGTCTAGATCTTTCTCCAATTACTTGTATTTAAACGATATTCCTATCTTGTAACTATTAAGTTATCAAAGTATTATTTAGAGAAAATATTGTCTTTCATATGGTATCAGAGCTCGTCTAAACCTTAACAGGTGCTTTCAGTGACGGATCCTGTAAACCCATATCCATTCCCAAGCAAGATTCATGTCGTGAGTTCGGTGACTCTGAAACTCAACGATAACAATTACTTGCTTTGGAAGACACAGTTCGAGTCCTTGTTTTCGAGTCAGAAGCTGTTAGGGTTTGTCAATGGGGCTGTCACAACTCCTCCTCAGATGCGTGTGGTGATGAGAGGTACGGAGAATGTTGAAGAAAACAATCCTGACTTTGAGTTTTGGTTCTGTACTGACCAACTCGTTAGATCTTGGATCTTTGGAACCTTTTCTGAAGAAGTTCTGGGTTCGGTTCACACTCTACAAACGTCTCGAGAAGTGTGGATTTATCTTTCTGACAACTTCAACAAGAGCTCTCTCTCTCAAGAGAGTTCTCCCTTCGTCGAAGTCTTCAGTTGTTAACGAAAAAGGACAAGACTTTAGCGGTTTACTGCAGAGAGTTCAAGACCATCTGTGATTCTCTTAGTGCTATTGGCAAGCCAGTCGATGAATCCATGAAGATATTTGGTTTTCTCAATGGTCTCGGACGGGAGTATGACCCAATAACAATGGTGATTAAAAGCTCTCTGAATAAGTTTCCTGCTCCAATATTCAATGATGTTGTATATGAGGTCTAGGGATTTGAAGTCAGACTAAAGTCTTATGAAGATCCACCTTCAGTTAATCCTCACATGGCGTTTGCAGCTCCGAATGGTGACTACAGGCAGCCTGGTGGTCCAGGATACAATCCTAACTACAGAGGAAGAGGTAGATCCAGTTCATACCGTGGACGTGGGGGCTACTCAAGCAGAGGTCGTGGTTTCCCACAGCACCAGACCAACAACAATACGCAAAATGAGAGGCCAACTTGTCAGATCTGTGGAAGATTTGGAAACATTGCGATAAAGTGCTACAATAGGTTTGATAACAACTATCAGGCTCATCAAGCTCTCAACTCTCTACGTGTGTCTGAGGATAAAGATTGGTACCCTGACTCAAGAGCCTCTGTTCATGTTACTGCATCAGCCTTTAACTTGCAAAGTCGCATCCATATGAAGGGGATGACGCAATAATGGTTTGTGATGGAGCTTATCTTCCTATCACTCACGTTGGTTCCACCACCATTTTCTCCTCTTCAGGTACTCTCTCTTTAAAAGAAGTGCTTGTTTGTCCGAGTATACAAAAATCTTTGCTATCTGTCTCAAAGCTGTGTGATGACTATCCTTGTGGAGTCTTTTTTGATGCGACTAATGTCTATCAGATTGACCTACTTAAGGAGAAAGTGGTGTCAAAGGGAACAAGAAATAAAGGTCTATATGTGTTTAAGAATGAGGAGGTTGCAGTCTACTTCTCGGATCGTCAAGCTTCAGCCTCTGCAGATCAATGGCATCTGAGATTGAGTCATGCAAACAACAAATTTCTTCAACATCTAACTTTCAGCAAGGAAATTAATGTCAATAAAAGCAGATCCACCCCTATTTGCCAGCCTTGCCAGATGGGGAAGAGTCATAAGTTGCAGTTTTTTAGTCCACGGAGTCATGTATCTAAGCCTCTAGAAAGAATTCATTGTGATTTGTGGGGTCCTTCTCCTATTGTGTTCAGTTAAGGGTTCAGATTTTATGCATTTTTAGTAGATGATTGTACTCAGTTCTCTTGGTTGTACCCACTCCATAATAAAGCAGAGTTCTTTTCAGTGTTCACAGAGGTTAAGAAACTAGTTGAACATCAATTCGACACAAAAATAAAGAAGTTTCAGTCAGATGGGGGAGGAGAGTTTGTTAACACTCAAATGAAGCAGTTTCTTGCAGCAAATGGCATAAAATGTCTTGTCCATATATTCCTGAACAAAACGGCCTTGCAGAACGAAGACATAGAAAGTTTACTGAGTTTGGAATGTCTATGATGTTTCACAGCCATCTTCCTCTGCATTATTGGGTGGAAGCTTTTGCAATTGCAAGCTATATCAGAAATCGCTTACCTTCATCAGTGTTGAACAACAAGAGTCCCTATGAGTCTTTGTTTCACAAGAAACCAGACTATAGCTCTTTTCGAGTATTTGGTGCGGCGTGTTACCCATGTCTCAGACCACAACAAGCCCACAAGTTCGAGCCAAAATCCCTTCAGTGTGTGTTTGTTGGTTACAGTAGTCTTCACAAAGGCTACAGAAGTCTCTATCCTCCATCAGGCAAAGTATATATCACCAGACATGTTATTTTGATGAACACCTACTTCCGTTTAAAGAGCAGTACAAGGACACTACAAGAAATATGGGTATTAGTAGCACCGAGAAAACGCTATAATATGGTTTTCGTAGCGTTTCGAAGAGCGCCGTGACAGCCGAAGCTATGGTAGACCCCCGGCCTATCGTAGCGTATTTGGATGTGCTGTTAAAAAATATCGATATGGCAGCGTTTTTCATGTGTTATATTATTATTATTTAATAGCGTCATATATAAGTCATATTAAATTTTTAAATGGCGTTTGCTTGGTGCCATACAAAGTTTTATTATGACAAGTAATTTGTGATATGGAATACTTTTTTATAACTGTTTTTGTTTTGGACGTTTGAACATATAA